TTTGTCTTCTCTGGAGTTCTGATAATTTCTTGGAGTATTCCTGTTCTTCAAGCATCTCAGGGACATCTTAGACTGGGGAACTCAAACCTTCAATGCACCTTAAGTGGTGTCTGTCCTAGACTGACCTTTCATCCTGGTTTGGATCTTGGGGACATAATTTGTGCTTTTTGGAGCTCCTATAGACCCTGAAAGCTAACAGGAAGGCTCCGTATAGGTTAAGAGCAACATGTCTGTAGACTATTCCTTAGTCTGATCTCCCTTCCATGGCAACTCAGTTGATTGCCTCAATTCAAGAGCTGTGGGCTGGACTGGGGACCTATTTTGAAATCAGTGCCATGTAGCTGCTGCTAGTTTCTGTTCTTGCTCCTTTTCTAGTACTCTGCCTCAGTCCAGGTCTGAGCTCCTAATCATTACTTGTAGCCATAGTTTCCCTTCTCATTCCTTGCTGGATTGTGACACTCAGCCCTGGGAGCTGACCAGCACAGCTGCTGGATGGCACCTGTTCCAGCTCCCTGAAGAGTATACAGAATTGGTACCTTGATGTGCAGCCTCTCCTCCCTATCTTTCTGTCAAACACAGTTGCAGAAGGAATGCAGCCCCTGGACTGTGGGAAGGCTGTAGCTACTTCTCTAGGCTGACCTGTCCTGCAGAAATCACTGACTAGTTTTGTTCTTGGATTTCTCATTTGCTACTTTGGTGTTATTGCTTTGTTGGAACAGTTGTAGAGGAGAGCTGAATTGTATTGCTTCCTCTCACTGTGCCATCTTTGCCAGTCTCCCCTTTACCAGATTTTTTAAAAATAATGAGTTCTTACTCTAGTAGCTGGAGTCTTTTGGTTTATAAAAGCACTGTATCACTTTGTGAGTTTGTAGGACTGGGCATATAACTAGATATGAGGATGATTTGTTAGGATTTGAGGCTGAAATTAAATTCCCATAGAATAAATGTTCTTTAAGGCAGAATCTGCCTTATTTTCTATTTGTATCTGTAGTGCTTTGTATTATGTCTGACACATTAAAAAGTACTCATTTAAGTATGTGATTATCGATTTGTATGATTGGGAAAATGACAAAATCATTTACAGAAATGGAAGAAACTAATTTGGGAAAAAATATGATGGCAGGATATCCACATGCCCAGTAGACAGTTGGAGATGATGGACTGGTGCTTAGGAAAGAGACTAGAGATGAAAATTTGGGAGTATTCTGCATAGAGTTGAATTAAAGCTGTCATATATCTTGGAGATTATCCAGTACAACCCTTTTATTTTATAGCTTAGGAAACTCCAGGAAAATTAAGTGACTTACCCAAAGCTCACAACGAGAGTCAGAACTTGAACACAGATCTTCTGACTAGAAATCCAGCATTCTTTCTCTTATACTAGGCATTGAAGCCACTAAATGTAGGAATGCTGAAATAACAGAGCATTGAGGATTGAGTCTTGGGGTAAGACCAGTTGAAGAGCAGGGAAGAATAATCTTAAGTAAAGGTGGGAGGAGAACCTGCAGTGTAGTATACCAGCAGACAAAAGGGGAAAAAAAGGTTTTGTTTATTTATTAACAGGGGAGTGGTCTAGGAGGATAGTGGAGTTGAGTGATTTCTTGTGATTGGGCATAAAATATAATTAATAATTTATGGGGTGGGGCAGTATGGTACAGTGAAAAAAAATGCTAGATGTAGAGTCAGAGGGCCTGGGTTTAAACTCTATGTCAGCAACTGGCTATGTGACCTGGGGTAAGTCATTTTATCTTTCTGGGCCTCAGTTTTTCATCTGTTAAAATGAAGGGGTTGAACTGAATGGCTCTTTTTTTTTTTTTAGGCAGTTGAGGTTAAGTGACTTGCCCAGGGCCACACAGCTAGTATATGTCAAGTGTTTGGTCTGAGGCTGGATTTGAGCTCAGGTCCTCCTGACTTCAGGGCCGGTGCTCTATCCACTGTACCACCTAGCTGCCCTGTTCTGCATTGATTTACAATCATTATTTAGAGAGGGAAGGGATCCATCTGTCCCAACCCTCTCATTTTACAGATAAGGAAAATTGTCTCAATTGGTCAAGGTCACACAGTGGCAGAGTCAGGATTCCAACTTAGGTCCTTTAAATCTGGCTTTCTTGTTATAATAGAAATATCAGGTTGTTAGTCTACCCTTTATAAAGAGAGGCGATTTCCTTGGAAAACATTTGTGTTTATATTTGTCATTTGGGGGAGGGGAAAATTTTTTAGTTGTTAGAAGAAAAAATACTTTACAGAATTGCTGTTATGTTCCTATGTTAATTTGTTCATTTCTTCATGTGTTGCATTATTATGTGTAAAATGTTATAATTTTAACTTTAGGAATAGTTTATTTAGAAGAGAGCCACAGAAATGATTAAAGGTTTTGAAAACAATATCTCTATAAGGAAAAATTGAAGCTAGTAGGAATATTTGCTCCAGAGAAGAGAAAGCTTTGGTATGATTTAAGGATTTTCAAGCTTCTAGAGGTTTTACTTTTCAGAAGATAGAACATTTACCTCTGTTGAGGAAGAATGTGTTTAAAATAGTACCATTAAGGATTTATTTTCTCTGTGTGGACTGTTTGTTTTTTCTGACCCAAGATTTAGTTGCAGGTTTTTTTTTAACCTGCTCTTTACCTAAATTTTATCTCTTGAACATCTCATCCACATGTCTTCTAGAATTATAATTATGTACATCGGTCCAACCTTTATCAAAAGGAAAGTAAATCTCTGCAGTAATATAGATAACCTTATAGATAACTGTAGTTGTATATAACATATGTAAAAATTATAAATTCTTGAAAATTTCCCCATTATCCCTCCCTTTAACCCTCTCAGAGAGCCGCCCAATATAACAATATAACAAATAGTGTTTTTTAAAGAAAAGAAAAAGAAGAGGAAGAAACCAGCATGACTGATCAATAAATTGAAAAAATTTGAAAACATTTAAAATGTACAATACTTGTGGATCTCCTACCCCCACAGAGGAGTAGGATGGGAATGTCTTCTCATCTCTCTTCATTAGAGTCCTGCTTAGTCTTTATATTTTTATTTTTTATTTTATTTTATTTTAATTTAATATTTATTTTTAGGCAATTGGGGTTAAGTGACTTGCCCAGGGTCACACAGCTAGTGTCAGATGTTTGGTCTGAGACCAGATTTGAACTCAGGTCCTCCTTACTTCAGGGCCAGTGCTCTATTCACTACGCCACCTAGCTGCCCCTGCTTTTTATTTTTTGATGTGTGGTTCTTTCCATTTGTATTGCTGCAGTTATTGTATGTATTGATTTTGGGGCGGGATTCTGTTTACTTCATTCTGCGTCAGTTTATATATGTCTTTCTATGCTTCTCTGTATTCATCATATACTTAATTTCTTACCACAGAGTAGTATTTCATTTCATTCATGTACCACAATTTGTTCAGCAATTTTCTAGTCTTTGTTTCCAGATATCTATTTTGATTCCAATTCTTCGCTATCACAAAAAGTGCTACTATAAATATTTTGGTATATATGGGGACTTTCTTCTTATTAATAGCCTCCTTGATATATAAGCCCAGTAATGGAATCTGTAGTTCAAAGGTTATATACATTTTAGACACTTTATTTGCATAATTAAAAATTGTTTTCCAAAATGGTTGGAGTATTTCACAGCTCCACCAACAATGTATTAGTGTACCTGTCATCCCGTAACCTCTCCAACATTGACCATTGCCATTTTTTGTTATTTTTGCCAATTTGCAGGATATGCAGTAAAACCTCAGAAATGTTTTGATTTGTATTTCTTCTATTAATAGTGCCTTGGAGCATTCTTTCATGTAGTTGTAAATAATTTGAAATTTTTCTTTTGAGAACTGTTTGTTCATATCCTGTGTACTGGAAAATGGCTATTAGTCATATATAGATATATATGTAACATATATAGATATATGTTATAACACACACACACACACACACACACACACACACACACACACACACAAAATACCAAACTATGATACCAAACTGTTGTCAGAGAAATATTACGGAAAGATTTTTTTCTCATTCAACCATTTTCCTCCTTATCTGAGGTACATTAATTTTATCTGTACGGAAGCTTTTTGGTTTCATGTAAAGTTATCTGTTTTATCTTTTGTAATTGCCTGTCTTGTTTGGTTAAGAATACTTCTCTCACCCATAGAGTTGAGAGGTATACATATGATCTGCTTTACTTTTGATTTTTTTGTGGTATGATCTTTAATATAAGGTCCCATATCCATTTAGAATGTATTGCAGAAAATGGTGTATGGTGTTGGTTTAAGCCCAGTTTCTACCAGATGGCTTTTCAATTTTCCCACCAGTTATTATCAGATGAGGGAGCTTTTCCTTCAATACTTTGTGATTGGTGGAGTAGTAGTCTCACTTATTGAACATCTATCCTTCCATAGAAGACTATCTCTTGAGCCATTTTTTTTGGTGCAGGAAATAATTTATATTTTCTCATTTAAAAATGATTATGACCTTAGCTTTGTACGCCATGTTTTTTTTTCATATTCACTGAGTTATTAAACATTCATTAAGGACTTACTATGTGCCAGACACCATGCTCAGGACTGGGGATACAAAGGAAAGCAAAAAGCTGTCCCACTGTTTAATGGGGGAGACAAATGCAAACTATGTTCATATAAGATATATACAATGTAAAAATGAGAAGTAATATCAGAGGGAAGGCACTAGAAGTGGGGGGATATAAAGGTGGACTGTGAAAGACCTGCCTGTTTAGCAGCATTTACCTGTTAACAAAAATTTTTCTTTCAATTTTGGAATCTGTTAATTCTGAATTTGGATTTTTGATAATTATTTTTTAAAAATTGGGGTAAAAAATTCCTTCTTATTTATAATGTTGAAGTTACTAGAAAATAGAAAGCTGTTTTGTTTTCAAAGTGTTATGACTTAAGAAGATGAAAGATCCCTAGGTAGTAGGGAATATATAATACATTGATTTGTAACTGTACCAATTGTTTTTTTACAGGTAGAAGAAGACAGAGAGTACATCGCCCTCGTTCTCCAATATTGGAAGAAAAAGATATCCCACCTCTTGAATTCCCTAAATCCTCTGAGGACTTAATGGTGCCCAATGAGCATATAATGAATGTTATAGCCATCTATGAAGTCCTGAGGAACTTTGGCACCGTTTTACGCTTATCTCCTTTTCGTTTTGAGGACTTCTGTGCTGCCCTCGTTAGTCAAGAGCAGTGCACACTTATGGCAGAGATGCATGTAGTGCTTTTGAAAGCAGTTTTACGTGAAGAAGACACTTCAAATACTACCTTTGGACCTGCTGACCTGAAAGATAGTGTTAATTCCACACTATATTTCATAGATGGAATGACATGGCCAGAGGTTCTGCGGGTATATTGTGAGAGTGACAAGGAGTACCATCATGTTCTTCCTTATCAAGAAGCAGAGGACTATCCTTACGGACCAGTACAAAATAAAATCAAAGTTCTGCAGTTTTTAGTGGATCAGTTTCTTACAACGAACATTGCTCGTGAAGAATTGATGTCTGAAGGGGTGATACAATATGATGACCACTGTAGGGTTTGTCACAAACTTGGGGATTTGCTTTGCTGTGAAACTTGCTCAGCGGTATACCATTTAGAGTGTGTGAAACCACCTCTTGAGGAGGTACCAGAGGATGAATGGCAGTGTGAGGTCTGTGTGGCACACAAGGTACCTGGTGTAACTGACTGTGTTGCTGAAATCCAAAAAAATAAACCATATATTCGACACGAACCTATTGGATATGACAGAAGTCGGAGGAAATACTGGTTTCTAAATAGAAGACTCATTATGTAAGTATATTCCAATGTAGGTGTAGTCTGAATAACAATAGTTTTGTTTTTGTGTAAGAGGCTTTGGGGTAAAGTTCCTTTTTCCTTCTTGACTCAAAGTTGTGGTATAATGTATAATTATCATTAGTATTATTGTAAAGTTAAATGTTTTCTGATTTACAAGGGATATGCAGATTTTTAATGGTGGTTTTATAGTTAATAGTTTTGCATATTTATTTTGTTTGGGTTTTTTTAAAGATGTATTTGATTTTCTCTTAACAATAAAATATTCCATTTCTTCTTTTGGAGAGGGAAAAAGTTTAGTGACAAAAAGGTGTTCCTAGCTCAGTCTCCACATTTATTTAGCTAAAGCAGTAGCAGAAACCAGTATTGGCCAAGAATGAAAGCATAGGGAAAGATAGAAATAAACTTTTCATTTCAGGTGTATAACCATGTCATTGCAAATGGCAGGAAAAGTATGATTAAAAATTTTTTAAGTAGTTTTTTTGTGTCTTGTCCCAAACCTCCCATTTCTAGGTTCTTTCTTCTCCATTACCATGGAGGGTGATTAAGGGTAAATAAAGTCCTTTATTTAGTAAGCTGCTCCTCTTTGTTACTTTCCACAAAGTCTCATTGCCTTGGGTTGCCCTTAGTTTATAAAATGAGAGGGTTAGACCAAAGAGTATCTAAGGTTTCTTTTAGTTTTAAAATTCCGTGATTCTACTTGGATTTGCAGACTACTAGACATTCTCCTCAAAGGCACCTCAAGGGGCAGAGGGCAAAGGGAGAATTAATGTCTGAAATAGTAGTACTCCACACATGATCACTGTAGTCTGTTTGAAACCACAAAGGGAAATGGAAGAGGCTGGGAGGGGCAATTAAAATGGAGAACACATGGAGCCCTAGTAACTTAACTGTTTAGGGATTCAGCCCAGTGTTTTTCACCTTCCATTCTTTGTGTGATTTATTGATTATGTAGTAGATTGGTTGTTCAAAACTAGAGGGAACATTTGCTATGAATTACTTTAAAGTAAGGTTTATATTCTAATTCTTTTGTCATACTAGCATTATGTTATACTAAAATATTTTCAGATTTTCAAATAAGGATGTATTTTGAAAGTAAAAATAAACTAAAGGGCATTTCAGGAAAATGATACTTCCTTATAAAACTGAAAAACAACCAACCTTTACACAAAGCAAGAGAAAAGAAATATTGAAATATTTCAACTGCATAGGTAAATTTAGACCTTTTGGGATTGTATAATTCATATAGGCTTAAGGAAGTTAAACAGCTGTAAATTAATTTATGATAACCATTTATGAAATAAAAAATCTGGTATAGGCTGTTGGATTGTAAAAGAAAAACTAGTTAAAGAATTCATGTATATGCTAGCTAATATTTTAAATTTAAATTCATTTTCATAAAGACCTTGTCTCCTGTTTTTAGAAAAAAAAATTTGTTCCTAAAATGTAGATATTAATTTTTTAAAAATGTGTTCTAATAGCACCGTACAAAACTATAATTTTTAGTTAGGTTGCTGTTTATATTTGTGTGGGTACTGTGTTGGATAGTCAGTTTTTGTTGTAGCATCAAATAACACAGTTTTAATTCTGTAGTCGTTAATGGTCCTTGATGGCCATAGAAAATTTGAAGGATTTTATGTATTTTACAAAATAAAATTAAAACTCAAAATTGCACCCTAAATGCCCTTTTATGGTATGGTTGTAACTTTTTGGTAAATGTTTTTAAAACTGTGTGAATTATTTAGAATATTTGCCATTGCTATGTGGAAGCACATTGGATGCTTTTCTTCTTCTGTATCTGTGTAAAGACAAATTATTATTGCATTCTAAAAGCTCTACAAACCCCAAAGCAAAAGGTAAGAATCTATGATATAGGTATGAGTGCAGTCTGTCTAAAATAAAGTAAAAACAAAATCTGACTGAATTAATCATTCTTAATTCCAGTGTTCTGGAGCACAGTGTCCTCTGCAAACAAGCATTTCATTTCATTGCTGTATCATGGTTGGCATGTAGTAGGCCTTTGTTGATTGGTTGGAGGATCCCACTTTTCATAGAAAATCTCTATTTTTCTTTTTGGAGGTACTTGTGGTTTAGTGATTAAGTAGGTCAGGCTAGTAAGTGTCTGGATCATACATCTGGTAAGTGTCTGAGGTTGGAGTTGAAACTCATATCCTCCTGAATCCAGGACCCATGCTTTTTCTACTGTGCCTCCTAGCTGCCCTGAAAATCTCTCTTCAACATGAATTTCTCCATTATTTTTCAAACTCCTCTTGCCTCACCTGATTTTTAGGGTCAGAAACCTGTTGAAGCTTATCTTTGTTAGAGCTTTTAAACGATCTTGAATAATTTTGATGCATGAATGAGAACCATCCTGTTGGAAGAAGACCTTAAAGTCAGTGTTTTGTTCAACAAGATCAAATGTTTTGGTCATTTTTATTTTGTTTTTAAATAACCAAAAAACAGTAGAATCACGTATCCTTTAATGATCTTTCAGGGAATTGTGTGTTGGTAGTGATGTGATCACCTGTGAAATATCTTTTGTGAAAGCCTATCTGTTCCCTATTAAGATCCTTCTTGAAGGTGCCCTTTATGTGTGTTGTAGCTTATTTTCTTAATAATTTTCTGTAGATGGGAAAGTAAGTATGTATTTTGCTAGTTGTTGGTATTTTCTTGGACAACTTTATGTATTAATAAAGCCTGAGATTTTTTTCATAACTTTGTTATTTTTTTTCCCCATTCCTGCTCAGATTATCTTTGTGAATCAATGTCTCAATGCCGCCGCAATTGTTTTGCCTCCACCATGGATTTCCTTGATCTATCTATGCTTGGTCAGATATAGCTGCTGCCTCCTGGAAGAGATCCATAACCACTCAAAAGGGTTACTGTCCACACAAGAAAAACCGAGTGGGTGAAGAAGGTTTATTGCCCAGGTTATGATAGACATTTAGATGTATAACCTGTAGAGCTTGTCAATCGGTATACATGTCTAGGACTAGTACCGATAGATGAGTTGAGCCCAAAACTAAGTAGGAGGAGGAGAGCAGCTGGATTGTCTTAAAAGAAAGTGCAGAACTCCCTTTGTAACTTCAAATTTCTCCCAGGAATAAAAGACTGTCTTTTTAGCACCAGCATCCTACTTTTTGCTACAAGGCATGAAATATAGCAGTCTCTGAAGGAGTGAAATATTGAGGAGACACTTAGTAGATTTGAGTAAACTATATCAGAAATGAAGAACTTAAAAGAAAAATAGAATAAAGGATGTCTTCAGAGAAATGCATTTGCAAAAAAAGATGGATGGTCACATGATAAGAGTGAGGGGTAGATATCCTAATTGCTGGTATCGTTTTGATATTAGGAGAAAGCAAGAAGGCCCCTGCCATATGAGCTGGATCCTGTCGTTGAACTTATTCAAGGACAGAGGCAGTAGTTACACAGGATGGGCAGAGAGGGATAAATTGTGATTTTTATTATTGGAGGAAATATTCAAATCAATAGGATCCCAGAACTTTTTAATAGTGGTATTATACAAGCCATGGCTACAAGGCATGTAACATAGGGGTGCATGAAGAATTGACAATTTGAGATTAAGTGCTGATAGTTTAAAACCAGTAAAGTTGCTGCTGTACGATACAGTGAAAAAGACATTGGCCTGGAAGATAGGCCTAACCTAACCTAACCAACCACTAACCTAAGTTTTATAGCCTTTGGCAAGCTGCTTAAACTCTGAACTTTTGGTCTTTCATCTGTAAAATTAAAGAGTGGATCTTTAAGCTTCCTTACTGCTCTTAACATTGTCAGGTTTATTCTTTATACTATTTCACAACTTTGTTAAAATGCACATTGATTAAGCATCTACTTTTTATGTAGAATTGTGGTAGGCATGAAATAAAATTCTATCATCCCTGCCTTTGATAATGTGACATAACATACCATACCATAATATTAATATGATATATACAAGGAACAACTGAAGAATAATTCTGTTTATCTGGTATGATAGATGTCAACAACTTTGTTTCTTGCTATTCTCTCTTTTTTTAAAGTAATAGTAAAAGTAAAGTAATAGTAATCTACAAAAGTAGATATAGTCCTGACCCTTGAAGAGTTTATAGTGAAGTTACAAAAGTTTAACCTTTTTGTTAGAAATATTTGGTTAAAGGCATATGAGGTAGTTTTTCTTTTAAACAATCAAATGAACTTTGAGATAAGTGTTTCAGGTAACCTTTATTAATATTTTTGCTCTGTTTTTGTTTTCTTTTAGTACTTGTGCCTCTGATGCTTTCCCTTTCCCTTTCTTGGGCACTCCTATCAGTTATCTCTTATCTTTGTTTCATCTTCCATTTCCCTTTGCTGGCATTCATCTGTAATATGGAAAATAAAATAGAGCTGTTAGAGCTAAAAGGGACTTTAGTGATTATCCCTTCTTTATAGATTAGGAAACCAAGAAAACCAAGGTGAAGTGATTCACTCAATGTCACATAACTAATAAGCATCAGAGCCATATCTTCTGATTCCAAATCCAAGTCTGATTTCTAGTTTGCTATGTTGTCCCTTCCCTCTTGCCTATAAATATACTTAGATCTTCTTTTTTAAAAAAAATCTTTAAACCCAGAATATTCCAGTCACCTTGACATTTCATGTTCTTCTTTTCTTCTGTCCTTCACTATAAAACTTATGGAAGGTATGGTCTGCATTCGTGCCACTCCTCACTAGTCGCTTGCTTAGCCCTTTGAATTCTGTCTTCAAGTCTAACTACTTCACCATTAACTTCTTAGTTTTTAAGCATAGCAGCCTACCTATAATTGTTATCCTCCTTAACTTCTCCACATTATCTAACACTATGAGCCACCCACTACTTAGTAGTCTTTTTATGACATTGCATTTTACTTGTTATCCTCCTTAGCTATTTGTTTTTTCTATTTCCTTTACTGATTCCTCTTCTTGTCCCTTTAACACTGGTGTTTCCCAAGACCTTAACTTGTAGGATGGTCTTCCTTCCCATAAGGAAGTTCATCCTTTTTTTCTGGTATTAATTAAAAAGCACCAGAATGGCAGTTACGACAACAGGGTTCTGCGACTAATTAGTCTTTGCAACCATGGTCCATATTTTGCTTATCATTAAAATGAGAGGGCTGGACAATGTGGTGTCTTAGGTGTTTGCAACTCATCTGTCCTGGATGCTGTATAAGCTTTTCCCAAGTCTATTATCTAAAACTCTGACCTTTCTCCTGAAGGACTGAATTTGTATTTCCAGTTGCCTACTAGGTATTTCCACCTGGATGTCCTGCTTTCTTCTTAAGGTCAGCATGTCTAGTATGGAACTTTTTCTTCCAACCCTGCTTTCCTCCCCCACTTCCCTATTTCTGTTGCTGATATTATCATTTTTCCAGGCACTTGTGCTTGCAACTTTTAATGTCATCTCTCATACCTCACTTTCTCTTGACGACCACATACAGTTAGTAATCTTAAGGGCAGAGACTATTCCTACTTATCTTTCTCTAGAAAGCATCGGGTAAGTGTTTATTTAATACTTTTATTGAATACTTTTTTCTCTGTGATCCTGATCTTTAGACCATTCCATTATTTATAGTCATATTCTATTCAGTTGGTTTTTATAAACTATGGAAGTAAAAAACTGATGAATCAACTCATGCTATAGGATGAATTCACAACTTAAAGAATTCTTAAAGTCAAAAGCATCCTTGGTACTTACTGTTAAATATTTTTCTCTTTTCTACCACCAAAGGTATTTTTAAAACCTTATATCTATATTTGGACCTTTAAAATTTTAATGATAGGATTATACTGAATGTCTAGTCTGAGGAAAATTAAAAGTTTTTTGAAAAGTTTCTTTCAAAAAATAAAACCATGATCATTGTCATTCCTTATCAGAATTTTTTCTTCATTTTTAGAGTTTTTTTGGCTTGCCCTTTTGAAATATTTGTAACCCCCCCCTTTTAATGATGGAAAAATATTGAAATTTGAGAAATAAGTGTATGTCATTTAGTTAAATTCAAATGAGTAAGCATTATTAAATGCATATAGTGTTCATAGTACTGTTCTAGGTGCTTAATAATGTCATAATTTTCATGGCAATTTTAAATTTTCATGGTTTTTTCACATGTTTCTCATTTGATTGTTACAAACTTATGAGTTTGGTAGGGCAGGTAAGTGACATTATCTCAGTTTTATAAATAAGGAAAGTAGGTCTTAGATTAAGTTACTTACTCAAAGGCACATAGCTGTTAAGTGGCCTTGTAGGGACTACAGCCTAGACCTTCTAATCCTTAATTCAATGGAACTATGCATATAGTATTTGGCACAGTTCTGTTTTTGGATGTTTAAAAAAAATTAGACTGTACCTTGTCTCTGAATACTATTTCCCTAGTTCTGTATTTTTGTTGTTTTTTAATGCAGTGTTGTAAATATATTAGGTTTTCAACAAATAATTATTTGTTGAAATTATTGGTCACTTAACCCTACTCTTCTCTAGACTCATGGTAGTCTAGATTTAGAGCTGGATGGGACCTTAGAAATGATCTAGTTCCAACCATCTTATATTACAGATGAGTGAACTGAGGCTCAGAAAGGTTAAATAAGTTGTCCAGGGTCACCCTGGTAGATGGTAAGTGGCACAGCAGTTCTTCACACCCTGGCCCTCTCTCTTCAAATGCAGTACTTTTCCCACTATGATGCACTGACTCTGTAATTATTTCTTCAATATTTTTGGTTTTGTGAGCAGGGCTTTAAGTATAGAATCTATTTCTTGATCTTTGGCATTCTTATTTATTAAAAAAACTAGTTTTTGGAACTTTTTGCAAAGCATAATAAATAATATTAAAATTGATAAAGACAGCTTGGTAAATTGGCAGATTCTCCTTTTTAAAATCCTGCAGTATACCTAAATGATTAAAAGGGCTGGTCAAGAACTGATAAGACAGGAACAAAATAATTCTTGTGTAATTTAATACTAATGGTAATACAAGTATGATTAGTCACCACATTAATCCCATTATCAGTTCCACCTAGTCATAAAGAGATTGTTGGGAATAGCTGTCAGGAAATGAAATGTAGGATAGTGAAGAAGGAAAACAGATAGCAAAAAGTTAGTGTAATAATTTTTTTAGTCATTAATGGCTCTTATTTTTTATCATGATCATTTCCAGATATCTATCTCTCCTGTCCCATACCCATCAAGCCTTCTCTTATATAAACAAAGATTCTAAAAGGAGGAAAAATAGCTTGGCAAAACTGACCACTATATGTTTATTTAGGTTTAACAGCAGATGTAGAGTTATACATCCTTGGTCTCCACCTCTGCAGTGAAGTGAGGGAAGCACATTTTCTCAACTCTTCCTTGGGGCCAAATTTGATCTTTTCAATTGGGAAAAAAAAAATTTTAGCAGAAAAAAATTGAATTAATATGGAAAGTAGGAGTCAATTTCAGAGGGTATTGATCTAGCCAAAAACGAATGTGACTGATTTAGTTATGTTAAGCTAGTGAATCTTAACATTTTTGGAGTTTTAACACCGCTTTATTGAATGTTTGACTTAATTCATTTTTCCTTTCCAAAAAATAATGAGTGATATAAACCTAGAGGACCTTCTAAATAATCTTTTATTCACTACCTTCTTACCACAAAAAAGAAGAAAATATTTTGCAAATGCTTCTGTGAATCTGGCACAAGACTGTAATTTACTTTGTTAAAGAAAGTCTGTCTGTGCTTATAGGGATGGATACTACTGTCCCAAGGTGAGAGCCACCCGTCCGTTTATGTTAACTGTGTGTGTGTATATATTTACACAGCATTATGGGTGAATGAAGAGTTTCACTTATATTTCTTTTTTTTTTTCAAATAACTGGAGCGTATCTCTTTTTCTACCCTCCATTAAGGTACTAAAGTTTTAAAATTTTTAACCATTTTGATGGAAATCATCGTTTAACTGTTTTTGATGGCTTAGGGTTATTAGAAACATTTGAGGTTTTTGAGGTGTGTAGGGTCATTTGTACATAGGAGATTTGCTGAGAAGTTTTTGCTTAGTTTTTTTTTTGAAAGCATGATTGTCTTCTATTTAGGATTTTGTCAAGCTGTCAGAAACTGACATTCTTTTATCAGTTTGCTTTCTTCTGTCTTTTCTTTTTTTGCTTACTTTTGACTTCTAATTTTCTATAGGTTTGAAAAGCATTTGTTAAGCTTTTTAGATTTGTGTATAAAGTAAGAAGTAATAGGTTCTGAGAGGGATTGGGTCAGCTATAAATAAAGTTCATGGACTTTATGTCAACTATTCATGCCTCTCAAGGACCTTCTCCCACCTTTTTTGTTGCTGTTTTTGCTTCCTTTCTGCTTTTTCCAAAGATAGATGAGATTTGCTAGATGAGTAAACTACCACATGAGTATGTTGTTAATGTATGTGTTGAGAGTATTTTACATTTTTTCTTACAGAGAGGAAGATTCAGAAAATGAAAAGGATAAGAAACTTTGGTACTATAGCACAAAGGTCCAGTTGGCAGAATTAATTGATTGCCTAGATAAAGATTACTGGGAAGCTGAGCTTTGTAAAACTCTAGAAGAAATGCGTGAAGAAATTCATCGACATATGGATATAACTGAAGACCTGACTAATAAAGCACGTGGAAGTAACAAATCGTTCCTTGCTGCTGCAAATGGTAAGAGAATTTGTCTGTTAAACTTGAAACCTACTGATGATGTAATTTCATTATAAAGCTTGAAAGTGTATAAGAAACATCAAATTTTTTCCTTTGTTTCACCACATAACTTTGTATTTCTCCTTTGTTAAAGACATTATATAAAATTATGTCTTGTATTATGCCTGGGTAATTAGTGATGCTCTGTAAATGGTTTCTAATTGTAATTATTATTTTAAAGCATATGCGAAGGCTATGTGAACATTTGAGTTTCTTTTTTTAACCTGTTCGGCTGTACATAATGTGTAAGCTCAGCATCTAACATTATTGGAGTGGGGACAAGTAGAAATTGCTGTAAAATTAAATAATATATTTACAATTAAACTTTTATGATAGGGAATGTTTGGATAAAAACTCGGAGTTTGATCTTTTATTTCTTAGGATAGTTACCTATATTCAGTAGACTTTGAACTATCTAAAGTTATTTGATGCCTACTTTTAAAAAAAATGTAATACATTTAATACCATCACCAGAATCAAATAGCTGCTCTCTGTATTTCCTTTGGGGTACTAGACTTGGAGTCAGAAGATCTACATTAAAGTTGCAGTTTTTCCACTCAATAGCTGTGTGACCTGTGACAACTCAACCTCTAAGAGCCTCAATCTATAAAATATAATTTACAACTCTATTGTTCCAAATATAGGCTCCCCCAGAATTTATACTGCATCTGTAAAATGAAATCTCTTTGAATGGAAAAAAAAAGAAGACATACTCTGAAAAATTATTTCACAGAATTATCATATTAAAGATTTACTCTGAGTTTTTAAATTTTTTTTATTCAATAAAGCTCTATTATTATTTTATTACCTTTGAATTTCTCACTTTTGTCATTCTTTCGAAGTGATAATATGAAGCTTATGTGTGTTTCTGTAAGCCAGATTTAGGGAAGAGTGAAGCTTATTTTCAGATTCTTACTGTCTGCCTTACAAGACTATTGTGATATATGAGGTAATGTATGAAAAGTACTTTTTAACTGAAAAGAATTTTGTGTAGCTTGTGTCACTTTGAAAGAATGTTCGTTGTGGTGGTCACGTGCATAAGGTTTCATACCTTGATGGAAAGAAGAAAAACATTGTTTATATTTGTTTAATAACACTAATAATTTACATGTATAAACATACGTTGCTCATGACCGATTGAAGTATGTAGTGCAAGGAGTTATTCCTGGATTTCAGGAGAATGTGGCTTTCCCTTGACTGTGCCCATCGGTCATTGTCTCAGCTGGCGGGTGAAGCTTAGGACTTGAGACTTTCTTCTCTTGCACTGTCTCTACTCCCTTTTGTCCTTCAGTATGAGCATTGATCAAAATTACCAGATAGCATTTCTCTGCTTAATGAAAAATAGACCTAGTAGTACCCTGCTTTTGTTAGAAAATTGTCAAATAGAAACTGGCTTTGTTTTGAAACATTTCAAATGTTTCTTTTGTAAATGCTTTTCTCATAGGTCACAGATGACCCAGAAGTGGGAGGGAACCTCAGAGGTCAGCTTGTCCAGTTCTTTCATTTCATGCAGAAGCTGTGGGGTCCGTGGGGGTTTAGTGACTTACTCAAAGTCCAACAGCGACTAGATGTCTGAAGTGGTGTTGGAACCAGGTCCTCCAACTTCAGAATCATCGCTGTGTTATACTGTACACATCATATAGTCTCCCACAGTGGTTTAGTTTTAGAGTCAACAGAAAATTCATAGTAAAGATATAATTTCTCTCATCTCCATAATATCATTTTGAGAATTAGAACTTCTTTATCATTAGCCAGCTAGGTTAGCCTCTGAATTTACTTTTGCGGAACGAGGATAGCAATCATTGCTTTTAGGATGAAAATTTTATCACTGTCTTCAGAATTAAGGCATTGAGAAACAAATGTTTTACCTCACTTTCTTTTTCTGGGCCTCCATATTTTGACTAATGCTTTCTCTGTTTCATTAATTTCACTTCACAGGAGCAAGTAGAAACGGATTTAGCATTGGGAAACATATTTACAACTAAATTTGGATAATTCTGATAATTTGGACAAAAAACCAGAGAGTATTATTTTTATTGAATTGCAAATACACATGCTTTTTCACAAATACTGAGTCTGTTCTTATTTCGGTCCTCTGCTGATAGAATTTTTTTTTTAAGGCAATCAAGGTTAAGTGACTTGCCCAGGTTTACACAACTAGTAAGTGTCTGAGGTCAGATTTAAACTCAGGTCCTCCTGACTCCAGGACTGGTGCTCTACTAATAGAATTTTTTTTTTAATCACCAATTTGATACCATGTGTTTTAAGACCTGGTTCCAACAATGATCTCCCTAAATCAGTTGAAGATTTAAAAAATACTTTTAATTGGTGTAATCAATTTTTAAATCCAAACCAGAGTATTTGAAAATTTTGTTTTGGCAGCTTAAAAGATATTTTGCTTACTGTTGAGGAATATTTCTCAATATTGATTTAACTGAGAGTTCACAGCTCATGGGTTTGGTTTCACAGAGCAAACAGAACAACATTAGTGGAATCAAGTACTTAAAAATCAGAAAAAGTAAAATCCTGCCTTATCAATTGCAATGATCAATTTTGAGAGTAGAATAGATTACTCAAAATACCCATGTAAATAGATTCAGGAGCAATTAAAAAAAATTAGTTCTAGATTCCACCAAATGTGTTCCTAGAAACCACATTGAAGCCAAAATGCAAACTGTTAGTTTTTTCTCCTCCTGTGTAGCTTGAAGTTACTACCATCTTTTATGGGGTGGCAGTCCCAGTAAGCAAGTCAGCTTGATATGGGCAATTAGCCCTTTGACTTGGGAAAAACATAAGTTCTTTTTAGGAACCATTGAAAGAACAAAATTTGAAGCACTGGAAAATGGCGACATGAAATTGTTATTGATTAAAATTTTTTTTTAATTGGACCTGTAATCAAATAAAGATCTGACTCCTTTCACTGATAAAAATCAGAAACTTCTTTGCAGTTTGTGGTGTTAAGAGAGTTGCCTGGGGCATCGTCTTGCTAAGTGATTGACCCATCAGTGTTTCTAGTGTCAGTCTGGCAGAGTGTGAAGCCAGGTCTTCTTGTCTCCAAGGCAGGCTCTTTGGTAACTATATTTTGCATCATTTCTTAAAAGCATTAACTAAAGCAGCAGCTTTCACCAACAGTCTGTATTCTTTAGTATTTAACCAGACTGCAAGTCTGCCTTATGGTAAAATAAACATTTATTATTTCCTTACTCCCACCCTTTCTTTTAGTGTACCCCCAATAAAAAATGAGACTTCTAAGATGCACCTAGCCAATAACACTTTTGCTACTGGCTATTAACATTTTGTTCATTTAGGTTCTAGTTTGTTTAGCAAATAATATTTCTTTTACTTAGGGATCCCTAAAGAACTGAAGTTCTTCCTCAGATTCATGTGCTACCTTAAAAACTACTAAATTTCTTGAAATTTTTAGTAATTGAGATGCTACAGAATAATTTCAGAAAATGCTTCACCTCGTATTCTTTTTATTATTAACCAGTAAGCATTTATTAAGTGCCTACTGTGTGCTTTCACTGTGTTAGACACTAGGGAATCCTGCTTTCAAGGAACTAATAGTCTGTTGGCAAAAATAGCTTGCACATATTCAAGTAAATACATAATATATATAAAATAAATGCAAAGTAAAAAATTTTTTTAGGAGAGAGATGGAGGGAAACATTTCAACAAAGTCTTCCTGGGGGAAGGTAGGCTATAGCTGACTGAGCTTTGGAAGAAGCCAGGGATTTTAGATCACCTGATGTTTTTAATTTGACATCTCTTAATCCAGAAAATATTGTGGTCATTAGGAAATCTCTAACCACAATACATAAATATGCCTCTAAATAAAGAAGTTTTAACCCTACTTTTGGCATTTGGATTTTACAATAGTTTATTTTGTTTGAATTAGGGATTTATTTTTGTCCTCATTAATTGCCTCAGTTTACATACACTTGAAATTTGTAGTTTAATCTCATAACTCTCCCAAGACTTCTTTTTGACCCCTTTGCACTGTGTCCCATGTCTTGCATATTTAAAATTCTATAGATTTTGCAGTTTTTGTTTGAATATGGTAAAGTAGATGTAGAATTAGGGAAAGGAATGATGATTGTTATCAGAAGAAAAAGTGAAAAAAGAATAGAGTTTGGGGGAAGACATAAAGGTTTATGAGAAAAAGAATGAATTAAATAAGCATTTTTCTAGATTATAGTGATTGGGAAATGGTAATAGATAATACAGTAAAATTTGATCATTGTAGTGTTGAACTTTTTTTATTTCTGTAGATTGTAGGAAAACCCAAAGTGAGACATACTGTGACTAGATCACACTGGTTTCAGGGTTAAGGAAAATAAAGAGACAAGACAAAAAAAGAGAAGCAGCAGGGAGATGTAGGGCGGAATAATAAAGCATAGCAAACAGGTTTTCCAATGGCCCTGAGAGCTCAGAAAGTTTATAGATGTCTAGCCAGGTCATGGTGACAGGCTGACCTGGGACTAAAATTGAAGTCTCCTAAGTTTGAGTCCTAGTGTTCTTTGGAGTTTTCTTGAGTTTGAAACCATAACCTGTCTATTCACGAAGCTCCCTCAGATCCTCATTTGGCCTTTGGCTTTGTCCCTTCTTTAATATCCCAGTAACCTAACTTAACATAATAAATAGGAGGTCAGAAGATAGGAGAAAGTAAGAGAAAGGAAAGAGTATCTACATTCTGAGACTGATACTGTGCCATGAAAATCAGTGTTTAGGTGGTAATTTTAAAGACCTTCTGAAACTTTCTGTATATTCTAAGTTTCAGAATCATTGGTATAAATGAAGGTAACAGCATTAGATGAAAATGATTGATCAAAGAGGAAAAAACCTAAAATAAGAAATCGTGCACTCTTGTTCTTTGAAAAAAAAATTGTACCTTTACCAGTTTTCATGCTCGCTGAAACTTATAGGGGAAAGTAAAGACTGGCAACATGTCTTGAGGAGAC